AAACTCTGTGCAAGAAATATCATCACAGTGACAATGCTTTAGGGCAGTGGTTCCCCAAGCTTGGGTCCCCAGATGTTCTTGGACTACAACTCCCAGAAGCCTTTAACACTAGCTGTGCTAGCCAGGATGGGGAACCACTGCTCGAGGACTTGAAACCACGACCGCCAGCAATAAGAGGGTTGAGCACTGAATTCCTACCTGGTAGTCCAAGATGCAGGGCGAGCAAAAGGCAGAGAAACACATGGAAGAAGATGGAGACACCTCTGTTACGATTTGCTGCTTCCTTGGCACCTAAAGAAGAGCAAAAACTCTGTGCAAGAAATATCATCACAGTGACAATGCTTTAGGGCAGTGGGTCCCCAGATGTTCTTGGACTACAACTCCCAGAAGCCTTTAACATTAGCTGTGCTAGCCAGGATGCCTGGGAGTTGTTGTCCAAAAACATCTGGGGACCCAAGGTTGGGGAACCACTGCTCGAGGACTTGAAACCACGACCGCCAGCAATAAGAGGGTTGAGCACTGAATTCCTAAAGGGACGTGGTGGCGCTGCGGGCTAAACCGCAGAAGCCTGTGCTGCAGGGTCAGAAGACCAGCCGTCGTAAGATCGAATCCACGCGACAGAATGAGCGCCCGTCGCTTGTCCCAGCTCCCGCCAACCTAGCGGTTCGAAAGCATGCAAAATGCAAGTAGATAAATAGGAACCACCTCGGTGGGAAGGTAACAGCGTTCCGTGTCTAAGTCGCACTGGCCACGTGACCACGGAAGATTGTCTTCGGACAAACGCTGGCTCTATGGCTTGGAAACGGGGATGAGCACTGCCCCGGAACCTTTACCTTTACCTTTGCACTGAATTCCGATCAAGGAAACCATGATTCACGCCTACACTTGGTCATGAAGCACATCTTGAGATGGTCATTCTAAGCATGAACAGGGATGCTTCGGAGCTACGTAGGTCAGGATATTGGCAACGATGCCTTGGAAACGATGCAGAACTGTATTGGCACTTCCTCCTTTTCAGAATGAAGGGACTACCTTAATGTTTACAACAAGATCAAGGCCATGCGTGGAACTTGTCTTCTCTCCAAGGACGCCTTGCTTGCCAAAATTCCCTCTTAATTACAAGTTCCGCAAACAACTGACACCAAGGTGTTGTCGTCTTCACAATGCCAATGGGGAAACTGAGGGAGGCGGCTGAAGCAACCACCCTGATTTTCCACAATACGTCAGGCTGCCAGCACAGAGAAGTTTTAGGTTGGGATCCTCCCCAGTTGCTCATGGCAGTTTCATTTCTGAATCAAGAATTACCTGTTGGGCTTCACGGGGTGAAGCAGCTGGTATGAGATTTGAACCAGCAGACGGAGAAGCTCAATGGCAGATGCTCTAGAAAGGAAGGCATGAAATTCTAACACCACCTGCCAAAACTCCTGCTCATTTATTTTTATTAGAATCCCAAATTTAGATGGAAGGTCTGGATAAATAAAATCTAATCTTCAGGTTGAAGGCAGAGGAACAAATTATGTGGTTGTTCTCAGCCAACAATGGCCTGCAGCATCTAATCAATTTCCTCATCTCCTTTTCGCTCCCTTCCTCATTGCTTTCAAAGGGTTTTCTCCGCAGCCACATAGTCATGCAAGATGGACGGAATTTTTACCGGCTATTACAGAGGATATCAAACAACATCCAAAGACCACAGAGCGAAAGAAGCGGTAACAGCAGTTGAGCGAGTATCTTTGCAGGTACGATGATTAAGGCATTCTTGACCCCTACTTCCTCGTTTAAACTAGAATCCTATGCTTGCTTACTCAGAAACCCTATTGAGTTCGAGGGAACTTAGTTCCAGATAAATATAAATGAATTACTAGTAATAGGTGTGTTTTTAAAAAATTTCTTAAGACTACAAATCCTATAATTCTGTATTCTAGTTCAGTTCCAGATAAATATAAATGAATTACTAGGAATAGGTGTGTTTTTTAAAAATTTCTTAAGACTACAAATCCCATAATTCTGTATTCTAGTTCTACCTGACAGACATCTTTTGGACATCTAAATGTGGCTCAACTCATATCCCGCCTATCTGGTCACTTAAGACCACTCTAGTCGGCTGACAGACATCTTTTGGACATTTAAATGTGGCTCAGCTCGAAGACTCTAAGGCTTCGCTAGGCCTAGCTCCACCTCTTCCTGTTCAGGAAACTTCCAGATAGCTCTGGGGCAAGACAAGAAAGTTTAGGCTCAGCTAGGCCTAGCCAGGGCTCAGAGCCTTATCCAGCCTATCTGGTCACTTAAGACCACTCTAGTCGGCTGACAGACATCTTTTGGACATTTAAATGTGGCTCAGCTCGAAGACTCTAAGGCTTCGCTAGGCCTAGCTCCACCTCTTCCTGTTCAGGAAACTTCCAGATAGCTCTGGGGCAAGACAAGAAAGTTTAGGCTCAGCTAGGCCTAGCCAGGGCTCAGAGCCTTATCCAGGCCTTTCTCCCAGGTGAGTCACATTTAGATGTCTGTCTGTCAGACCAAACTCCCCGAATAGAGAATTATGGGAAACCTGAAAATCTGAAAAGTGTACCCCTATCGATGACACTTACTGTATGTAGCACAAACCCATTTGGTCTTGGCCTCAGCGTGACGCATTGCGTACGAAACAGACCTGAAATATTAGGAACATAGAAAGCTGAACTTACAGTAGGTAGAACTTCATGACTGTAAAAGTTCCTCCGTAGTGAATCAGAATACATCAAGGACTCTCCTTCACTGGAGGTTTTTAAGGTGATGTTGGACGTAGTGAGGTTGCTTTCGCTGTGATTTCCCACTTCAGAAGGCGCTCTACTCTCCTTCACTGGAGGTTTTTAAGCAGATGTTGGACCTAGTGAGGTTGCTTTCGCTGTGATTTCCCGCTTCAGAAGGAGGTTGGATTACATGACCTTGGATATTCCTTCCAACTTACAGCTTTGTGATTTTCCCACATCAAAGCATTGGTTTATATAACTCAATAATGCCCATTCAGGCACTGGGTTTCCAAGGTTCTCTCCCCCTTCACTGGAGGTTTTTAAGCAGATGTTGGACCTAGTGAGGTTGCTTTCGCTGTGATTTCCCGCTTCAGAAGGAGGTTGGATTACATGACCTTGGATATTCCTTCCAACTTACAGCTTTGTGATTTTCCCACATCAAAGCATTGGTTTATATAACTCAATAATGCCCATTCAGGCACTGGGTTTCCAAGGTTCTCTCCCAGTGAACTATGAACCGGAGTTCTACAATGAAGCAAAAGGACTCTGAGCATGTACGGGGTGCCTTCCCCCTCACACTGTCCCACTGTAATCATGATGTCTCCTCTATTTAGAATTAAGAAGTAGAGATGTAACATACAGCACATGTGGGTTCTTTTGCAAAAACTGAACCAATGGCTTGACGCATTCCTTGATGGTCCTTCTAAAGGCAGTCCCAATTCTTTGCAACTTCACAGCAGCACTCCCTTATCACTCCTAGCCCTTTGGCCAGCTTTCTCCTCCAAACAGTCACCACTTAACATCTGCCAGGACTGGGAGATTCCAACCCAGAGTTTTCTCCCTGCCAGGACTGGGAGATTCCAACCCAGAGATTCCTCCAGTACTTGTTGTTTAGTCATGTCCGACTCTTCGTGACCCCACGGACCACAGCACGCCAGGCCCACCTGTCCTCCACGGCCTCCCAGAGCTGGATCAAATTCATGTTGGTTGCTTCGATGACACTGTCCAGCCATCTCATCCTCTGTCATCCCCTTCTCCTCTTGCCTTCCCACTTTCCCAATATCAGGGTCTTTTCCAGGGAGTCTTCTCTTCTCATGAGATGGCCAAAGGATTGGAGCCTCAGCTTCAGGATCTGTCCTCCACTACACTTGGAGCTTCAGCTTCAGGATCTGTCCTCCAGTACACTGGTTCTTAAACTTGGATCCCCAGATGTTCTTCGACCACATCTCCCAGGAATCCTGGCAAGCATAGCTAGTGGTGAAGACTTCTGGGAGTTGTAGTCTAAGAACATCTGGGGACCCAAGGCTGAAAACCACTCCGTCAATACCTTCACGTCTGAATTCTGCCCCATGTTGTTTTCCATAACCTTTTCATCTTGTCCCTGGCCTACATGAGCAAGAAAATCCCATGTTGTTTTCCATAACCTTTTCATCTACACTCGTCCCTGGCCTACATGGGCAAGAAAACCACCAGCACCCAGAAGATCTGCAGAGATCAGTTAAGAACTTGCACAGAACAGATTCGAGGGGGACAGCAGGCAGGAGAAGCCAGGGCTTTTTGATTAAACAACAACAAAAGCACAGAGGTGTCATTAACATCCTCCTCCCCTGATGAAACAGCCTACTGAATTTCTCCACCAGTCATTCCTCGGGGCATACCCAGAACAGTGACTCATACCAGATTCAAATCTGGATTGGGGAAAGCCCACATCTGATATCTGCACTGCAGGGAGGAATAGAAAACCCAGAAAGATTGAATGCAAGCTTCCCTCCCTCATCCCAATGGAAACAGCAGGCTTGGCTATCTGTGGGGAAAATATATCTTTATTGAGGTTGCAGGAGGATGGGAGGAGGGGGATAAAAGCCTCCCTTAGGCTGAATATCAGGAAAAACGTCTTCACTGTGAGAGCAGTATGACAACGGAATCAATGACCTTGGGAGGGGATGAGCCCTCCATCACTGGAGGCATTCAAGAAAGAATTGGACAACCATCTATACAGATCTGCTTTGATTTGGATTCCTGCACTGAGCGGTGGGCTGGACTTGATGGCTTTATAAGCCCCTTCCAACTCAATTATTCTGTGATTCTAAAAACTTAACACTAGGGCACTGCTCCACATTCTCCCAGTATTTTAGGGTGTGATGTGTCTGATTCCAGAAATTTTAAAAGATACTGGATTAACCCTTTTCAAGACTTAGTGAATCAAGCTGGCTGCTTCACTTGTTATTCTCCTACCCAAATAAGCTTATCACAAATAAAACAGAAACACTTAACTATTTCACAGCTCTTCTAATCTTCTCCGTGCGGCCTGGCCAGCTTGTTAAGCTTCTTATCCTTCTTGGTTCAGGGCTTCTGAGCTTGTGGCAACCCCTGGCTTCGCAGATAAATGAACTCCCAGTTCATTCATTTTTCGCTACGGCCCATATACAAGGTCTTCGGTTTGCAGAGGGACCAATGCAGTGTGCAAGCGGAAACACTGTGCATCAATATAATACAAAAATGAGCCTCATTTCCCAAACATGTCATCCATCTGTTCTGGAACTCTTATCAAGAGTTTATTCGATGAAGAAAGAAGAAGAAGAGATGCTGTATTTTATCAGCCAGGTGGTCCAGGAACTCACAAAAAAGAAATCCAGAAGAGTCACAATCTCAGGAGATGAGACAACGCATTACAAAATGCACGAGCGGAAAAAACGTGGGAACGGGATGATGTCTCTGATGTTCTCGACTCCCAAGATGCACTGAAGATAACGGTCAAACCCCATTCCAAATCCTCCGTGTGGGGTTGAGCCAAACTGGCGCAGCTCTGTGTACCTGGTGAAGAAAAGAGTATTCTAGTGTCACCTACTAATAATTTCCACTGCGGGCAAATATTTCCTTATAAAACCTCTGTTAGAAGACCTTCCTGTTTCACTTCTTCACTTCCGCACAGCCCAGTTTCCTCAAAGGTTTTGAACTTGCCACCCACTTCTGAATAAACTTAATGTTTCCCAAACAGGGCCGGCCCTACCTTTAGGCAGTGAGGCACCTGCCCGAGATGGAAGATGTTGTGAGAGGAGGCCTCCTTTTCCCTTGTCCCCTTCGCTCGGGCAAAATAACCCAGAATGCTTGCTCATCCCTCTCATCGAACTGAAAGCGAACCGCCAGTGTGGACAGCTTCTGCAGACAGAAAGGGGTGGCGCTCCATATTGATCCTCGTTTCAGGTAGCAAGATTTATTTATTTATTTTATTTATATCCCACCTCTCTGGTCGGTTAAGATGCCCTTAAACCAGCTTTTCCGCTACATACACCATCCCATTGCTTTGGCAAGGTCTAAAGTACAAAGCTTCGCCACAGACAGACGCACCATGAGGCAGAATGAGACGGTTGCCCCAGGGGGCAGATGCTGGAAGGCGGGAGCAAGGTGTTGGAGAAAAGAGCGTGGCCCCATGCAGCCTGCCTTGCACCCGAGCCCTGAGCTTTGAATAATTTGAATATTTTCAAATTTCCCTCCCAAAGTTACTGAAGGAGGTTTGGGCAACATGTGTCCCGCTGGCTGAAAGTAAGTCATGAGTAGAGTAGACTCATCTGAATTAATGGGATTGTACAGAGTTGATTCATCAAGACCCCACAGACTCAGTAGGCCTTTACTACATAATTTACCATATGTTCCGTGTATAAGACGCTACTTTTGTCTAAAATCTTTAGACTAAAAATTGAAGATCGTCTTATACACAGAAGTAAGCTGAGAACAAAAACAAGTGGACGGGAAAGCAGGGATCAAAGCGATCCTGCAGCACTTTGATCCCTTTCCCCCTGCACTTGTTAATTCCCACTTAGATTTCTTTATTTTGGATTAGAAAAGTGGGGGTGTCTTATACATGGAAAAATACGGTACTATGCTGAGCAACAGGACTTTTTCCTACTCTTATACATGGAAAAATACGGTAATATGCTGAGCAACAGGACTTCTCCTACCGGCTGTTTAACATTTCACAAGCCCTAGCAAAATCCAGCAGCTCAGTCACGGCTTTCCTTTCCGTTTCAGAGTTAAAACCAAGTGTGCATAGAGCATGCATCTTGTTTCAAAGGAGAATTGTGTCCCTGTGAATGGAATTCTCCTTTGAAGCAAGACAGTTGCTTTTTAATAAGCAATGTTGTTGTTTGTTGTTGTTGTTTCCAATTCTTCTGTAAATTTTTGGTGATGTGCAGTGTGGCCAAGGTATTTGGCCCATAAAAGGTCCCAGGCGACTGAAAGATGGACATTGACCCACTGATGTTAGAACAGGGACACCACAAAAAAAGATGTTCATGTTATAAACGTCACACAACGTTGCCATTTCAGAAAATGAAGAACTTTACCTGACATAATGAGTTTTTATTGATTTTACATTTCACAACCCCTAGCAAAATCCAGCTGCTCAATCGTGGCTTGCTTTTCCATTTCAGGGTTAAAACCAGGTGTGCACAGAGCATGCATCTTGTTTCAAAGGACACGGACACTGAATTAGTTACTTTACACTAAAATTTAAAGGTAAAGGTAAAGGTTCCCCTTGACATTTTAGTCAGTCATGTTCGACTCTAGGGGGCGGTGCTCATCCCCGTTTCTAAGCCGTAGAGCCAGCGTTTGTCCGAAGACAGTTTCCGTTGTCACGTGGCTAAATCACTAAAATTTACCTTGCCATAGAAACAGGTAAATTTCACTGACTGTTCAGCTGTTTTTAAAACTAACGATGCAGTCACCCCAGCCGACTTCTTGCAGTGTGACTTTCACAGTTATGGAATGAGGGAAACCAAGCGGAATGCATCTATTTGACAAGATCTGCTGTCTGGTGCAACTCTGCAGCACACAAAAATCCTTCCTTATCAAAACTGAGAAGCCATGAGCCCATCACTTACTGGATTCCTCCAAACAACCTAGGTGGACTTTTATTCTTACCAAAGCAAAGTGTGCTGCTTATGTACCATCCCATAGCACTTAAAGCACTTTCTGGGAGGTCTGCTATTTAATTATGCAGGTTACACATTGTTCCTCCACCCCAGCAAGCTGGCTACTCATTTTACCAAACTTGGAAGGATGGAAAGCTGAGTGAACCTTTTACTGGCTACCTGGGATTGAACCCCAGGTCATGAGCGGAGTTTTGGCTGCAGTACTGCCATTTAACCACTGTGCCACAAGGCTTATAATAGTAGAATAAATATCATTTCTAGGTATTGCTATGACCAACTGGCAAGTCATTCCTAGTTGCTAGAAGAGACTGTTGATATTCCGGAAGTTATTTGTATCCTGAATTTGCAAATGTTGGTCAATTCTTAGGACATGAGCTCCAGCCATTCGAAGCAAGGAGAGAAGCAAGTTGTACCTGCTTGCCAAACAGGTCTTAGATATGAGACTCAAAAACAAATATAAAATATAAAAAAAGAGGCAACACTGGCGAATACATAGGAATTGAATGCCAGGCTTGTAAGAGTTAAGCATTCCACATTTTGGATCTGTGGACCTCACTGAGCAAATTTGCCCTGTTTGATTTCTCCCACATTCATTTTAAAAAAAAAGTTTCAATCTTTCTTCCTCAAATAGGAAGAATAATTCTGGAAAATTCATGGCAAAAACTCTAACCGCCATTAAATTTCCACCCTAGTCCCAAGTGGTAAATTCTGCCAAGTGTGAGGGGCCCTCACAAAAATCATCCCTTCCACACAGGGAAGTCTGACCAAGATCTTGGCTTTTTTCCCAATGATATGATGGTTGCAAAACCTTGGAATATATTGGGATGATTTTCTAAACACAGCTGCAAACGGACGAGAAACACCTTCCTGTGTCTTACCATTGATAGGTCTCTTCCAGGCCCAATCTGTGGAAAGAAAGAAAGAAAATAAATAAATAAATAAATAAAGGCTTCTTAGTTCTTCAGCTCAGTACTTGGTGGTAAATTCCAAATAAAAAATAAAAAATATCTGAATTATATCAAACCAGCCAAGTGTTCTGTGTCACTGGAAAGATGACTATGTTTTCTCTAGCCACTTCGTCTCGCTGGTGTCCCAGAGACCTTTTAGCTCACAAAATCATGTGCCACAAGAAACAGCTAGTGCTGAATTGGGTACAGACCATTGTCACCTTAATATCAATGGTATGCGACACCTTCCAGAAATATGGTGCCCAGGGACAATCAGCGAAATGGTCCAAGTCAGGGTAACAAACCTGCCACTCATTAACCAGGCGCTGGTTGCATTTCATTTATCTGGATGTGATTCATCAAATGGGATTCTGGGTAATAAGTTCTCCTTTCTGTCATCCACTCCCTCCTTTTCCCTTTCTGTGGTTTTCTGATTCTTCTAAGTACAGTGGTGCCTCACATAATGAGTGCACCGTTTAACGACGAATCCGCATAGCAATCTATTTTTTGGGATCGCTAATGCGATTGCATTGTGATGTTCTGAATGGGCAAACATTGCATTGCAATGATCGGTAAATGTTTCGCTTACCGATCTTCGCATTGCGATGTTTTTAGAACAGCTGATCGGCGGTTCCAAAATGGGTGCCGCAAGCATTTTCGTGTGCTGCCCTCGCTTACCGAGGTGGCAAAAATGGCGGCGCTATGGAGGATCTTCGCTGAACAGTGAGTTTGGGCCCCATAGGAACACATTAAACGAAGTTTAATGCGTTCCTATGGGGTTTTTAGTTCTGTTTAGCGACGATTCCGGATAGCGACGATTAATCCGGAACGGATTAACGTCGCTATGCAGGACACCACTGTACTTTATTTTCTAACTCCTGCTGAGGAAACAAGGGGTTGGGCCAGCGCTTCCCAACTTTTGACCTTTGCAGAATACTGTCAAGGTTTCTGTGAGAAACTGCAGAAAAATACTTTTACTGTAAAAATTCCAATGGTCACATTAAAACTAAACCTGACAGCAATTTTTGGTGCCAACTTTATTTGGAGGTTTAACTTTATTTTGATTTATTATAGGCAAGATTAGATATTATGGAAAAACAAAGAAAAATCTTTGGAAAGATTTCTTTAAAATACAAGTTGATCTCTATGGATTTTTTTTTACCCGTAAACCTCTGACAATAATTTAGTAGTACATTTAATTTCACTCCCTGCCATCAAATGTTCCTGGTCTATATGCATTTTCATAGTTAAGGGGTTCCTTGGGATATGAAAACTTATTTTAAGGGGATAAAAAGTTGGGAATCGTTGGATTCCTACAATCTACATGGGACCCTCTTCTCTCTTGCCTTAGTGAACTGAGAACTGGCTATTTAGAAAATGCAAACTTAAATGGCCTTGGTTCATTTGAATACATTAGCTTCCTCCACAACATTCTTTCACACAAGTTTTTTTTTTTTTAAAAAAATGGGAAACAAAGAAATTTCAAGGAGACCTGCTGGGTATTTTCCTTAAACAGATTACACAGAAGAGACTGGAATGCCAGCAAACAAGATCCTTAAAGGAGCATCTGTTCTGTCTGAACGCCCTCCCTTCTCTCCTCTCTTTAATTGCTGGTGTCCTTATCAGACCCTCCTTGACCAGCTGTCAAACTGCTCCCTGCAACAAGTCACAAGCAGGAAAGCCAGTCTCTGCACCTCTGTAGGCGGGTCTGAAGAAAATCCAGCCGGTCTTCTCTCAAACTGCCTCCGCAGAGTTCTCCAACTCCCGGGACCAGGAGATCAACAGCTGCGACCTTAAAAGGAAAGGAAAACAACATTGAAAAAAAAAACTCACTTTGGCTTATCTGTGACTGATCTAAATCAAAAGTGGGGAACGTGAGACACCACAAATATTGGATTGCAAATCCCATCATGTCTTACTGGGAGCAACAGAGCACAGAACCAATGGGAATTGCAATCCATAAAAGCTCTAGAGGGCCCTACATTCTCCAGTCAAGGGTATCACATCAGAAAGTTGCACTGACATGCAGGCCCAAATATTTTTGGGGTAGGGCTTATATTACGAGCATTCTGAAAAATCCTACTAGGGCTTATTTTCAAGTTAGGTCTTATTTTTGGGGAAACAGGGTAGCTCTTACCGTATGATGGTCGCCATCTTCATTGTCCCGCATATAGAAGGGCTTAAGGTCATATGGATAGTTATATACAAATACAGGGATTTCTCCGCAGTGTTCTATTAAGTATTTTTCATGTTCCGAATAGATATCCTGACCCCACTGGGGGGAAAAAGAAAAAAGAACAAAAATCAATGCAGACTGCCAAGAAAGCACTGATCAAAATCCTATTTTCCCCCCCTGTGGGGAAGTGAAATTGTTACGTTAAAGTCCGAAGATGTCGACTGCATGTCTAGTAACATATCTGGCACTCTGTCCGTGAGCCTTCTATTAGCTGCTGTGATTTCACAAGGAAAAGCCAGCAGGATTCAGATCCATGTCCTCATAAACAAGGTTCACAAGTTCAAACCCAGCTCAAGGAGACTCAACCATTACTGAGGGCTGGGTAGACAGCTTTACTTATATATTATATTCCTAACCCAATTGTTCCTCCAATAAGCTGAAGCTGAGGGATACACCTCATCTGAAGGGATTGCAGGCCTGAGAGGCATCCTGGTGTCATTCATAATCTCAAACGAGAGCCAAAAACAAGTCAACTTGACCAAAAAGCTTTTATTTGAAGCTATTTACATCTCGTTGGCTGGATAAGCTCCGTGGTTGGGAGTTCAATTCCCCACTACGGCTCCTGTGAACAGAGCAAGCCTGTGCCCCTTTTGTCTGATTTTTCAAAGGGCATTTATTTATTTATGTTTTGTTTTGTTTGTTTACGGCAACAGCTTAATGCAAATCAATTTCGAAAAGAACTCTGGGAAATGACTCAGGTGGGACAGATAAAGCGAAACCTTCCCCTCAAACCTCTTCAAGGCAGAGCTTTGTCAAAGGCTCACTAAACCTCCACAACCACAAATTAAAACAACAAAACAAAAAACAATAAAAAAAAACCCCTGCCACAAACACTCACCACCGGTTCGTAAACAAATTCTCGAGGAGCTTGTTTTAAAACCTCTATCGCCTCAGTGTAGGACATCCTGGAAGTAGTGGAGAAGAAAACCTGTCAGGGTTTAGGCTCATCCTAGCTGGATATAAATGTGTTTATTTTAAATATTCCTATCTTGCCACTCAAAGAAAGAAGGCTGACTGCAGAAAAATTGATGCTTTGAACTGTGGTGATGGAGGAGACTCCTGAGAGTCCCCTGGACTGTAAGGAGAACAAACCTATCTCCATTCTGAAGGAAATCAACCCTGAGTGCTCACTGGAAGGACGGATCCTGAAGCTGAGGCTCCAGTACTTTGGCCATCTCATGAGAAGAGAAGACTCCCTGGAAAAGACCCTGATGTTGGGAAAGACTGAAGGCAGGAGGAGAAAGGGGACAACAGAGGACGAGATGGATGGACACTGTCATCGAAACAACCAACATGAATTTGACCCAATTCCGGGAGGCAGTGGAAGACAGGAGGGCCTGGCGTGCTCTGGTCCATGGGGTCACAAAGAGTCGGACACGACTAATTGACTAAACATCAATGGCTCTAAATTAGAAGGACAGTCGGACACGACTAATTGACTAAACAACATCAACGGCTCTAAATTAGAAGGGACCACTCAGGATGCCCATAGCAAAAAGGAATGCAACAAAAAACTTGCATTTGTTGTGCTAAGAAATCCACTCAGGATAAAACAGGATAATACCAAGACTTGCATACAGATGCAACTGGCTTCTGTGGGTGCAGGTGTGCTACTGAAAGGTAATATTTCATTGCAAACAGAATAAAAGAGGTGGAAAGGTTGACATTGCCAAAGTATGTAAACCCAACTAAACAACAAAATGCATCTGGAATAGGAATGAGTTCAGAGAGTCCAGTATACTATCTGACTGGTAACAGCTCTCCAGGGTTTCAGGCAGGGATCCCCAGTATACTATCTGACTGGTAACAGCTCTTTCAGGCAGGGATCTTAGTCTTATCCTGAGCTTCTTGGTCTTCTCTCATCCATGTATGAACTAGACCTGGTCCTGCTTAGCTTCCAAAATCAGATGACATAATTTACTGCATGCAGACAGTCATACTTGCATCTTGTCAAACCACAAAAAGATCGCTTGGCTAGAGACAGTGCAGGCTAGTGAAGCCTACATTTCCACTGCTGTGAGAAATCCAGCAAAGAAGCATATTCTGAGCAAGGACAGTTTTTACAATAAGGGGGGAGAAAAAAACAAAACACCTTTTGAGGCAAGAGGAGGAGGGCATAAAATGCATTGATAAATAAATTTCAAATATATTTGCTTACGTTATAAATTGCTTGTTGAGCATCTTTTCTAACTTGGCCTTTTCATGGGGAAGAGAAAAGGGGAAAGAAAAGAGAAAAGAAAACGAAAGTCATCACAGTTTACAATTGCAGAAGGAATTTCAGTTTTTTGTTCTTGAAGGTTACGTGTTTTTCAGAAGCGCTTAGTGCTGCCATCAGCAACTTTGCAAGGACGTAAGCGACACACTGGTTTCCACTTCCTAAAACAGAAATCGAGCTGCATCAAAGCACCCCAAATTTGCTGGGGGGAGGGGGAAGCTAAACTGTGCCATTTCAACCAAGGTACCGTGAAAAAAACATTTAAAGGAAAGGGTGTGCTATTGATATACCGCCACATACCGCTTAATAGCACTCTCTGGGCGGTTTACAATTTAATTATGCGAGGTACATCTTTAGCTTGGGAGCTTGCATGTAGATTCTTTCCCAGCATACCTCTCTTGGATGGTCTTGCGAAGGATGATGGAAATTGCAGTCCTGCCATATCCTGAAGGTAGCATTTTGCCCACCCACCCTTGTGCCAGAGTGACCTCCAAAGGTCCAGAAACCACAACATGATTTTGGAAGGCTGGACCAACTCCCACTTCTTTAAAAAAAAAAGGATATTGTTTTCCTGAAAAATGGTCCAACAGTGGCCAACTTTAAAACAAAATTAAATTGAGGATGGAAGTCAAGTACTATGTTTCCCCAAAAATAAGACAGGGTCTTATATTGATTTTTTGCTCCCAAAAACGCATTAGGGCTTATTTTTAGGGGATGTTTTATTTTTTTCGTGGGCAACCATCTACCATTATTCAAATACAGCCATGTCATCTTCTGGTGGCTGCACAAGGGGAGAGGGTGGGCTTTCACGTCACTGGGGCTTATTTTTGGGGGAGGGCTTATATGACGAGCATCCTGAAAAAAATTATACTAGGGCTAATTTTCAGGTGAGGTCTTCTTTTCGGGGAAACGGTAGGATGAAGGACCCTCAAAAAGCAGCAAAATAGGCTACTCCTGCAGAGAACTCTTTGAGTTGAAAAACATTTTTAAAAAACAACTGGAAGAGGAGAGTGGGTATATGGGTGGGTAGGGGGCCACTCGGGTATCCTGGGAGGGGCACCAGAAACTTAACAGGATGCACGTTCATCAGCCCCATGATGGGCAGTGTATTCAGACAGACCTAATGCCACAATCCTGTTTCCCATGGTGGTGAACCGGAGGCCAGTAAGAAGCCTCAAGGAAGGAAATGAAGGTGCTTCATTTAGCAGCAGAAGGACAGACCCTTTGGCCATTATTACGACCTGGCCCCAGGAACGTCCCTTCCCTCCCACAAATGGGTCTAGCTTCTCCTCTTGGCCACCCAAGCCCATGGCCATCCGAGCCTGGAAATGTTATTTTTCGGATTACATCGCCCATAATGCCCCGCGCGCTCCAACCCACCCACAAGATGACACGCTGTGTGGAGACGTCGTTCACACAGAGACACAACGGTGCAGACAGACAGCTAGATGTTTGGGGCTTGGTATTGCACCCCTTGGGGGGGGCAGGATGAGAATCAAAGCCACCCTTCCACTTCCTCTGGGGGCAGAGCCATGGTTCCCAACCCAGGTGGTTCTTGGACTGCAATTCCCAGAAGCCTTCACCGCTAGCTGTCCTGGCTGGGGTTTCTGGAAGCTGCAGTCCGAAAACACCTGGGCAACCCGCGCTTGAGACCGACCCACTGGGATGGAGTAAGGTAAAGGTAAAGGTTCCCCTTGACATTGAGTCCAGTCGTGTCCGACTCTAGGGTACGGTGCTCATCCCATTTCCAAGCCGTAGAGCCAGCGTTTGTCTGAAGACAGTTTCCATGGGCACGTGGCCAGCGCAACTAGACACTGAACGCCATGAGCTTCCCACCGAGGTGGTGCCTATTTATCGACTCACATTTTTACATGCTTTCGAACACCTAGGTTGGCAGGAGCTGGGACAAGCGACAGGAGCTCACTCCATTGCATGGATTCGATCTTACGACTGCTGGTCTTCTGACCTTGCAGCACAAAGGCTTCTGTGGTTTAACCCGCAGCGCCACCACATCCCTTTAATGGAGCAAACGAGGTGTATTCTAGAATCTAGAACACTACTAGCATTGAGGATCCAGGTAAGATTAGCAGCATAGCTTGACTCCTTTGCTTGCACAGCTCTGCCCTGAATTCTCTTGCCCGGTCATACTGAAGACTGATCGGGCAGCCAGCTGTCAGATCTGCTTGGACTTGGGGTTCTCGCCTTGAGCAGGGGGGCTGGACTAGATGGCCTTCGAGGCCCCTTCCAACTCCACGATTGTCTGTTTCTATGACAGAAGGCCAAGCAGCTGGCTATTACCAATCGCAAGCTTTTCCACGTTCAAAAGCTGGGTAAACTACCAAAAAAAAAAGGGGGGAGTAAAACCCCTTCTCAGTTTTTACCTTTTGTCCAGGAGCTACATATTTATGAAAAAGCTCGACATCACGAGGGCATCTGGATAGCACCATTTCCGTCACCTTCTTGAAAAGGTCTTCCATCACCTAAGGAAGGGGGTGGGTGGGGAGCGAGAGAAATAATTCAGAGAACTGATTAAGCTGTAATGCTCATTAGGTATACTCTCCATCTTGGGCTAACAGTGGCACACAATAAATAGCAATTATAGTTTACATAGTTTTCTGTGTACAGTACAAGTCTTTCTACTTGGGTTCCTCTAAGGAGAAAGGTGGGGTAAAAATATTTTAAATAAATAAAATAATGAAGCAAATGTAAGTAAATAAATAAAATTCCAGGTACCTCCTTGTTATGTTGTTTGTAACCCCCTGCTCATATGAATGAAAAGTCGGGGTAGATCTTAAAAATGAAGGAAGAACGATTGTTATCTTCACAGTGCACATTTAAGAGTGAAGAGTGTTTGATCGTGGCTGGAGACTATGCTGCGTTTCTACATCTGTTTACGGTAGAAAGCATGGGAAGAGGAATAATTACGTCTCTCTCTCTCTCTAAGGGACGTGGTGGCGCTGCGGGCTAATCCACAGAAGCCTGTGCTGCAGGGTCAGAAGACCAAGCAGTCGTAAGATCGAATCCACGTGACGGAGAGAGCGCCCGTCGCTTGTCCCAGCTCCCGCCAACCTAGTGGTTCAAAAGCATGCAAATGCAAGTCAATCAATAGGGACCATCTTGGTGGGAAGGTAACAGCGTTCTGTGTCTAAGTCGCACTGGCCATGCAACCACGGAAGATTGTCTTCAGACAAAACGCTGGCTTTATGGCTTGGAAATGGGGATGAGCACCACCCCCTAGAGTCGAACACGACTGGACAAAAATTGTCAAGGGGAACCTTTACCTTTACTCTCTAGGTCTTGGTTTGGATCTGGTGTGTGGGGGGGAGAAGCATCTCATGCCATCCACTTTTTCCCACATAAAAGAAAGGATCTACTGTACTGTTGTTTACAGTGGGGACTTAAGGGTTAGTTCATGTGTGATGATGACACAGACAGGATGGAAAATTCAAGAGGATGCTTTCGTTTCCTCGAAAGAGGAAACATTTTGTTATGCCACAAGAGCTTCTGGAGGGCCCAAACTAAGCTGGCCGTCACCACAAAGGAGTGGTTCCCCTTCTATTCACCAGAGCGGTCCCAGGCAATTTTGAAAAAGGGGAAAACCAGTACGAATTGCAACATCTAAAAGCCACGTGTCCCATTTAACATTGCTGCAGAGAAGGCAGAGACACGGTAGATATGGATTTACTGGTAGACATGAATGATCCGCAGTAGATTGACAAATGACTTCTGACTCAACAGCACTAAAACGACAGCAGCAAAATGCATGTAAACGTTTTACGGCATTCATGATGAAACTTGATGGCAGATATAGGATGTTTTTAGAAGAGTTCCTCCTCTGAAGGGGAAAAGAGGTCTGTTTGTCACAGCACATGATGTTTCTCTGAAACATACCTTGCATTTTTGTTTTGCAAATGATCACTGACTGGGGCTCAGCTTGGAAGTCCAACTGTTGAAGTACTTATTTCTGAAGCGATATGCAGAAATAACAAGCAATATGCAGGGAACACTCCTATCTCTTAACATCTAGTTTGACAAGGATTCTTATAGCGCTAGCTTATCTTGCCTGTTTCCTCTGTATTCCCAAGGGCCCTCACACTCTTCGTTCGCCTTAGACTTCCTTCGCTTTTTCCTGCTCTCTTCCTTCCTGTCTTCCAAATACAACTGGATTCCTCTCTCTGTCTTCAACAGTCAACCAATATACCCTTTGCAGATTCACCATTTCTAATGCATATGGGGCTACTCCCTTGATCTTTGCAGAGACGGTCTGCCGAGGAAGTCTAGAAGTTGATCGTCGAACAAAGTGATCTTGCTTTGCGTGCATTCATATAAACAACCCTGTGCTTGAACTGTGTCCAACAGAGAGACACAGAGGGTGGAATCCTGGTATGCTGTTATGCAAAAGGCGTAATTTTTGGAGGCAAATCGCCACAAGCTGAGAAATCTCCCGACATTATCTGTTGGATGCAGCAAAGTGTGGCTCAGGATGCAACAGGTATGGAAATTGCTTAACTTAAGGCAATTCACCTCAGACAGTTACAGCTTTCGTGTAACAGCGCAACTGGGTTTCAGCCAGAGAGAAATGTGTGGGGCACAGAATGAATGAATGAGGCCAAAAGGAAATTGTTCTCAGACACTGTCCACCAAGTTCAAAACTCCCCCTAACCCATGTATAATAAGCTTTTTTTATACATACAGATCTTTGCGTGAGTGCTTAAGATATGCATTATCAAGCGACACTAAAGCAACAGAGGAAGTCAACTTATACCAGGTCTAACTGTAGTTATTTGTCTAGCCCTGGGTGGGCAACAAGTGGCCTTTTTGACCTTGACCTACCAAGTCTGGTTTTGTAGCTCTAGAAAATCAGTCATATTCTTCTTTATCATCGTTCTCGTCTTAGAAGTGCAGAATTAGAAGGGACCTTCGAGATCATCAAGTCCAGCCCCATCAAGGAGACACAGTGGAGAACTGAACTGCCTAGCTTTGGCTCCGTGGCCAGGTGCCTCAACCACTGAGCTATCCGGCTGTTATCTGAGGCAGAATAGTCAAATTTAAAAGCACAACGCCTGCTTGGAGGCCCTTTTTTAATGGGGGGAGAGGGATGTATGGCAGGCCTTCCCCCCAAATCAAGCTGGAACAGAATGCTTGGTCTCTTGTGGTTTTGAAGAGCTCCTAACTTATTTTTTTTTAACCATTTCCTCCAAGCGAATGGAAGCCCACCAGATTAGATCTCCACTCGCATCTGTTCGGGGCAGCTGCAGCTTCTCAAGGATCTCCGGCAGACCACGATCTCGCTTATCATCTCCCGGTTCTTCCAAAGGAAGATGCTAGAGAACCGATCCTTGGCGCTTTTGCCTGCCAAAGCTGGGGCTGCGTCGTCGGATGCCAGGCCCTGCTCAGAGACACTCTTTCCACACCGACGTCTGCAAGAAACCAGCCCCCAGCCGACAGTTCTGCATTTCCTGGCAACATCTTCGCCCTTGTGAAGTCCTTATTTTCGAAGGAGCAGGATTCCTGTTTCCTCAAGATCAGAGGGCCCTGAGGATAAAAATAGCACCAAGCTCTGCGCTTGGTTCTCAATCAAATTAGCAGGAAGATAAACCGCACCCTCCTGTTCACATAAAGCACGGTGTGCGCTCCGTAGTAAGAAACCAGGATCGGCACTTCAAAAGGACTTCTTGTTTAGCCCTTCAGTCGTGTCCGACTCTTCGTGACCCCATGGACCAGAGCATGGCAGGCCCTCCTGTCTTGCCGGAGTTGGGTCAAATTCATGTTGGTCGCTTCCGTGATCCTGTCCAACGACAGCTCTTAAAATCCTCCACAGCTGGCACCGCCTGTGGCGATGCTAACTGGGGGAATCCAGTGCCTTGTAGCCCAAGAAAGCTTTTAAAAGCCTTTAGCTTGCCACTTCTGTGAGTGCCAAAAATCTTATCTATCGCTATCACAGCCATTAAGGTCCGTGATGTTCGTTTGCAACCTCATAAAACATCCAGTAACACAAACACACCGGATAGCAACCCCATTTGATTCATGTTCACAGATTAAGGAAGTAAAACAAAAGAGAGGAACTCTATTATTTATTCAAATTAATGACCCACCCACACCTGTAAAGCCCTGCATGGCTTGGATCCGGGCTATCTGACGGTTCGTTGTCACCCACATAGGAACCGCCTCAGTTTTTAAGATCTTCTGTGGAAACTCCTTTCTCAGTTCCACTACCTTCCCAAGCTCATTACTTTAAGCAGTAAGGTGAGTTCCTACTCCAGTCCTTTGAAGATGCCCTGGCCACAAGAGACTGTCAAAACGTCAGGAAGAACAACCTTCAGAACACGGCCAAAGAGCCCGAAAAACCCAAAACAACCATCAGATCCCGGCCGTGAAAGCCTTTGAGAATCCATTATCCCAGGAACACTGGTTTTTAACTTACAGGTCTCAAATGTTTTAAACTGTTTTTATATTTGATTCTTTTAATCTTAGTGTACTGTATGTTTAATTGGGTTTTTAAAGATGATATTTTTTAATGTTTTTAAAATGTGATCTTTATATAGCCTTTTAAAGTTTCTTATTTTACCTGTCATGAGACATCTTGGGGTCCCCTATGGGGGGAAAGGTGGCCTATAAATAATTTAAATAAATAAAATAAACTAAGGCTAGGACAGGATACCTACCACACACATAAAAATGCTAAACAACTGCAACATCAGAAATGGAGAACTTTCCCCCTTCCCCTAAAAACTTGTGACCCACCTGCATGATGTCCTGAAGTCTCTCGATGAAAGAAATCTCCGCCTCCACCATATAAAACTCTGCCAAGTGCTTGCTTGTCCGAGAATGGTCAGCACGGAAAGTTGGGCCGAAAGAGAACACTTTGGTAAACGCCCTGCAGTTGCGAGACAAAGTCATGTTTGCAAGACACATAGGCACCTATTGGCCAGACACTGTGACGTCACCCATAAACCTCCCCCCAGAATCATTTTGAAAACCAACCAAAGCTTCTCACTCCAGGACCTTGAAGTTAGTAACTTTCCCAAGCTCCAGTTTCTAATCTCACACACTTCCAGAACCAGTGAGGCAAAGCTGTTGTACTCTGATAAGAGCAATCTACACTTAAAACACCTGCTCAGCTATCATGTCTGATCATAGGCCTATTATAACCAGTGAGGCAAAGCTGTTGTACTCTGACAAGAGCAATCTACACTACCTGCTCAGCTATCATGTCTGATCATAGGCCTATTATCTTTTAACCCAAACCATTGATTTATTTATACTTTATTCATTTCTGGCATTTTATACCACCCCACTCAGTGGAACATGCGCCACTCTGGGAAGTTTTACAAACACATCAACCCTTCCCAACCTAACCTCAAATCATAAAAGTCAATATATAATGGGGGGAAAAAAGTAAACCTACCAATTGGCCCATAAAATTCCTGACAAATCAATACATCCTCAGCAGTCATGTGGTCCCTCATGGGTCACATGGCTACCTGAAAGGTAGGCAAAGTGCAAGCTGTGGGCTACCTATACACCTGAAGAGCCCAAATATGGCCCATCTCACACTCCATACACATTTTAAAATGAATTCTTTTTTCGCTGAAAAAGCCTCCTTGTCATGTTGAGGAGGTAGGCTTTGGAAGCAATTTTGCCACGACTGGATCGCTACACCTTCACTGGGGCACCCCTGAAAAGTCTACGATTTAAAAAATAATAATTTGGCCACTAGAGGGAGACAAAGGGCACTGTTCGTTTAAAAAACACATATTTTTACAGAATTGGAATGGGACGGACAGGGTGTGACCCTCTAATGTGGCCCTCTAATCTCTGTAAGTTGCCTAGCCCACCTAAATAATGGTTCCCAACCTTTTCCTTTCTGTGGGTCACTTATTCTTCATGAAAAGCTTCAGCACATGATCCCATGAGACTTAAAAACATTTTTTAAATGGCATGTGCCTGATGGGCATCAAATATAGAGAATTAAAAATCCACCTCACTCATCAACATATAACACTCATCACAGTAAATATGGGGAACAGGCACTCCACTATTGTGATCTTCCCCCCCTTGTGAATCTACCCCTTCTCTGTTACCGCTTCATGCATTTCAAGAGCATTTCCCCCAAACCTTGTAATATTTTTTTTCCTTTGTGCTTTTGCCTTTTGCTGGTGGCTTTTTGCGTCGGCCGGAGAAAGGTACCAACTTAGTGTGTATTTTGGAATTCGTTTTGTGCCAACATGGCCGGTCCATGCCTTTTGTTTGTCTAGACAGCGCATCTCTCTTGGTTTCTATCCAAACAAAACAAGAGTACTAAATCATGTCTCGGTATGGATTCGAGTTTTCCTCAGCTGTTAAGCCATTTATCTTCCACTTTCGGAAACGGCAGACAAAGAATAAACGGAGAGGGAAGCAAAAAAGAGAGAGAGAGAGAGATCTTGTGCCCAGACAAACCATTCTCCAGCCTAGGCTGACACAAATTTCGGTGTCACTGGGGTAATCCATGCGCATTGTGTCGAAGGCTCAGTTCCCATCCCTGAAGCTGCAAAATGGTAATTAAGTCTGAAAAGATTTCTGTGTAGCTGCATGTTACAGATAAGAAAATCCAGGGAAGAATGGAGGAGGCGATGGGTTCAGACAGCAACATCCCACACACTGAGAAATGTCACAAGCTCAGAAATCACTTGAAAACATAACTCTGACCACTCCGCTCTGGTTTAAGCAAAAATTAATCAGAACAATTTTTTAAAAAAAAATCCCAAAGCAACCCACCCAAAGCAGCATCTTTAAGGCAATGCTCCTATTAATCTTTTCCACATCTTGAGCAAACTGGAATTTTCCACAAGGGAAGAGGGCAAAACGCCATGCTGCTCTTAATTAAAAAGCAGCAGCAATCTCATTAAGCCAAACAATCTTCACGTAGGGAACTATTTTCTATCCACTTCTCTGCAGAATGGTAAAATAACAGGTTTGTGTCTACGCCGAGGAGGAAACAGGATTAGGGGATCCGGGAGGGCAGATCCAGAACGTGGTAGCAAAATACACTTTGGGTAAGAACATCAGCGATACCATTGCATTTTTAAAATGAAACCAACAGCTAGTAACCGTCATTCTTCAGAGCGACAATATTTACTTATTCCTCCTAAATTTACTTCTGGAGGTCAGCAATTTTCCAGCCATGTTTATATTTCTCATGGAGCCCTCCCTAAAAGTAGGTAATTAAAAAACAATTTGTATCTGAGAACAGTGCTTTTTTTTTCAAAAAAACAAGCTGTGAATAACAATACAGTAATAGTGAGGAAAAATTTTAAAGGGCACCCCCCCTCAGACAGCAGGTTGGTCGTCACACAATGATGTCTTCTACTGAGGAAAAATTGGCCAGAAGAGAAATTTCTGCAGATCGGAAACTAGCACAGGTGAGATACAGAACTTCTCTTTCTGTCTTCGAATCTGTGTTTTCTTTTTTGTTTTAATTTCCACTCAATTACGTTTCCCATCACTTCTCTCTACTATGTGTGTAGATATGGCATTAGCACAGATTTTAGAAGTTTCTTTTTTAAGCAGCAATTCCCTGCACGTGTCACAAAGCCCAACATGGTAAAGTAGGGTTTTTTTTTACATCTATAATTTCCATTGGCTGTTTCTTCACTTTCCTATACTCCCAAGGAAAGGAAAAGATCTTCCTTGTCCTGTCTCTGTTAGTCAGTTTTCTCCTTTCTTTTAACCTGGTAAGCTCTCTCTTTCGAGGATGGTCTATTGACCCCATTGTCTACCTCAAATCATGACTTAACTCCAGTCTAGCGTATGGCCAAGGGCGCGAAAATGGTGCGGGAGGCCATTTTCTGCACCCGGCGGCCATTTTGGAACCGCCGATCAGCTTTTTCCAAAATGGCCGCCGGGTGCAGAAATGATCGCAATGCGATATTTAGCCTATCTAAACATCGCAATACGATCGCATTAGTGACCCCCAAAAACGGGTCGCTATGCGGATTCGTCGTTAAATGGTGCGCTCGTTAAGCGAGGCACCACTGTACTTTCTAAATAAATGTTAGTAACCCTTTTTCTTTAAATTCAGCCTCTGCCTGGTTTATTTTTCCACAGAACGGAGCATTTAAACGTGTGGGTTTAAATACCTGTAGGAAACACTACTGAATCTAACTCGGCTCATTCAAAGAGATCCACTAACAGGGGCAAAACCAACACAGCTAGGGCCCGGGGACTCCTACCGGGTATCCTTCTGCTGAGAACCCACTGAGTATGTTGGGATGTTCAATAAGGTAGACCTCTGACGACTTGTGTCTTGTGAACAAGCCACCATGTTGGTGGGCACAGGCTAAGATCTTCTACAGCAAAAAGAAGTAGCAAAAGAATTCACAACACTTCGGTCTGAAATTTGTGTACTGTACTCTTCTCCAAAAAGCCAGAGAAACACTTGCTACGTTACCCCCAAAACAGCTAGATCATGCCCAGAATTTCGTCACACCAAAGGATGCCTGTTTACATAATCTCTTGGCCCAGATTGAATGACTGACTGCTTACTTTGCATAAAATGGTACCTACATAATATGCAAGCTTAAAGTCACCTAGACTTAAGAGAAATGAACTATGGCAAACTTAGAGAGTAATAACCCACATGTTATTCTAGCCCAGGGGTTCCCAACTTGGGTCCCCAGATGTTCTTGGACTACATCTCCCAGAAATCCCGGCCAGCAGGGGTAGTGGTGAAGGCTTCTGGGAGTTTTTAATCCAAGAACGTTTGAGTTACCCAAGGATGGGAACCACCGTTTTCAGATTACTATTCTCACAGGGGCAGGGGAGAGGAACCCACATGCAGGATCTGGCTAGGTTTGGACAACACACTCGAAACTGCATGGTTGCATCCTATAACCTCCCCTTGCAAGGCTCCCCCCAAAATCCACTGCCAAGTTTCACCACCAAACTACTAAAAAAGAAGCATGATGAAAAAGGCCGCACAACGGTATGGTGGTAGAGGGTGAAGCCCACGGCAGATCCTTAAAACAGACTAGAAACACTGAATTTCCCCCCCTAACATTCACATTGTGAATTGTAATGCTGATTGTGGAATTCTTGTTGCACGCCCCTCCAAAAATGTCTTTTATCTGCCCAGGTGGATCCAAGCACGTCACGGACAGGAGGTCCATGGCTCCATCTAGCTTGCCACAGTAGGAACCAGGGTTCTACCAGGGCGAACAATAAACCAGGGAGAACCTAAATCCTGGTTCATTGGATCACTGCATCCTCCTCCGCAAGATCGCCAAGCCCCAACAGCTGCAGGATAAAACTGGAAACCGGGACCAAACTGTCTTCGAGGACGTGTGTTTGGCATCACAGATCTTCCTCTTGCTCTGGAAATCTAGTAACTTTCCACACACACACACCAAGGCACGTCCTAGCTTAGGGGGAAAATACGGTACATGCTGTGTCAGCAGAGAGTTTCAGATTCAATCCATGCCCTCTCCAGAGAGGTCTAAGAAAGAAGTCCTATCAATAACCATAGACACCTGCCAATGTTCAACAGGACGGTCAACCCTGGGCTAGCTAGATGAATAACTCGATCTGGTACAAAGAAACATCCTTCCGCCAAAATACATTTTAAGAGCCACAAACGGTTTTTAAACACTTCTTATTTCTCTCTTGCTTAATCTCACCGATCTTGAGCTACAAGACATACGGCATACTTCTCGTCTGAAGGACACACCACTTCACAACCCAAACAGAGGTTTGTGTGTCTGGACCTTTCCTGGGCACAGAAAATGAGGACTTCCTTCTCCAGGGAGAAAGACAGTCAAAAGTTTGCAAGTTTTTTTTTTTAAAGACTATAATTCCCAAAATACCCCAGCAGCAGAATTATGGGAGTTTTAGTCCAAAATGCCACTTGCCCAGCTCTGGTTTCACGGAGAAGGGGTTGAATTCTATGATAAAATACCTGCATTCAACCCATGAACACAATTGTCTGAACTTAGTACGGCATACTTCTCGTCTGAAGGACACACCACTTCACAACCCAAACAGAGGTTTGTGTGTCTGGACCTTTCCTGGGCACAGAAAATGAGGACTTCCTTCTCCAGGGAGAAAGACAGTCAAAAGTTTGCAAGTTTTTTTTTTTAAAGACTATAATTCCCAAAATACCCCAGCAGCAGAATTATGGGAGTTTTAGTCCAAAATGCCACTTGCCCAGCTCTGGTTTCACGGAGAAGGGGTTGAATTCTATGATAAAATACCTGCATTCAACCCATGAACACAATTGTCTGAACTCAGACAAAGGTATATAAATCACGAGATTCTGCAGGGACTTTTATCACTCCACTTCCATCACAAAAATCTAGTTCCATAAAATGGTCCTCTAAAACTATTGCAAATATGTAGTCAAAAGACACGTGTCTTAAAAAACTTAAATTACTGATGGAAACAACTCACATCATCTCTCAATAATCTGGTTAAAAATCTTCTTATCAAGCTCCTTTGAGGGCTAAAAGTTTGGAATGCATGTTGGCTCAGAAGAAGAAGAATTTCTCTTCAAGGATAAATATAGCTTGTCTAAACTTAGCTTGCATTTGATCCACTTAAAATGCTTGGTGCTTTTTTTTTTAATAGAAAGGAACATGTTATTGAAGCACAAAGCACGGAGTAGTAACATTACGTCCTGTACAGGGAGAGAGCGGGACGTTTACTCTACGAGCAGATACAAGAGGAAAAACAACAAAGCAAAACACAGCCGAATGACATCATGATCAGAGTTGTTTTGAAGAAGAGTTCCTGTCTTTCTCCAAACTATTTTTATACATGGTTTCGGCACCTAATCCATCCTGTGGAAAATAAAGTTCTTATTTAGTTTTATCAGTTTTTCTCCCTGTTCGATTCGCCCAAACCCTGGCAATATATTAAATTATTGCCATGATAGGCAAGGAGGGAGAGAGAGAGAGAAAGGTCAGACAAAGTCCACCAACGTAGGGAATACATAAGCCTGCAGGTCACACAGAACTCTTTATCAAGGAAATATAATTCAGAAACTAGTTCTACCGGGGGGGAAAGGCTGTCTGTTAACATTTTTCTTTAACTCCATACAACTAAAATCTGTTGTTTTTTTCTGTTGATATAGAGGTAACTTTAAAAGATTTCAGTCCCCACCTGTCTTTTGGTCTCACATTAAGCTTGACAATCCTTAGATAAAGTTCTAAGAAGTTTCTCTGATGAGGGTCTTATTTGCCCAGTACTTCCAAAAGCAGGAAGGGGGGAAAACGCCCGAGTTTTTGCACCAACCTTCTTGAAACCTTTGACAAAAGATTTGCACCCAAGTGGCACAACCTATCCAGGGAACTGTTCAGTCAGAATTCCAATTCACACATAAGATGGTTGCCTGTGGTGACACTGGGGCGGGCAACCAGTCCACAGATCCACATTTTTCTAATTTACAAAAGTAATGGGTGGGGGAAGGACATTGGAAAGAGGCTCTAAAAGGGACCAAAATATCTTAAAATTGTCTCTCATTCCCCTTTGAAGCCATATGGAGATTTTTAAAAGCAATTTTTAAAAGCGGGGGGGGGGGATATGTAGGAAGCTGCACGTGGTCTGTGGGATGATGCACTTTGTACACCCTTGAGTTACACCCGTAATACAGACCTTCCCATTTGTTTGTTTGTTTATGGAACTTGTATTTAGGGACCCGATACTCCAGGAGGTTTACAAATTCTGCAGGCTCTACACATTTATCCCCAAGCAAGCTGGGTACTACTCAGTTTACCAACCTCAGAAGGATGGAAGGCTAAGTCAACCTCGAGCTGGCTACCTTGGATTGAACCCAGGTTGTGAGCAGAGTTTTGGCTACAGTGATGCAATTTAACCACTGCGCCGCAAGTCAAAGGAATTGGGTCCTTTCCAGCTCAGCAGTTCTATGACGATGATCCAATGAAATAAATTGAAAACATCAGCAACAAAGCAATGAACAATGGCGACTTAAAAATATATAGAAAAAGAAACAATCTTAACACAGGGAAGGAGGGAAAGAGGATGAATGTTTGCCTTTACTCTTAAGAGTTTTCTGTAACAATGCGAATAGGATGATAAGATAGCATCATACCTCAAGTGCATAGAGGTAGCCTGCCAACGTCAAGACCCAAGAACATTTGAGGCCTCAAATACCCATGAACAGATCTTATTTCTCCTGTGCCTCATGGCGCAGCGGTTAGACCGCTGTACTGCAGCCAAAACTGTGCTGCACACCCCAGGGTTCAATCCCAGGTATTTGGCTCAAGGTTCACTCAGCCTTCCACCCTTCCAAAGTGTGTATGGGCTGCATAATTAACTTGTAAACCAGCCAGAGAGAGTATTTTAAGCGCTATGGGGTGGTATATAAGTGGAACACTTTTCGTCCCCCCTCCCACATCACAATTGTGGGAGATTGGAGTGTTTGCTGCTAGAAGCATCGTTTTTGTACAGGGGGGATCTCAAGATGCCCTCAATCGTCCCCAAAGCAGAGCAGAAATAGACACTCACTCACTTCTGGTTTTGTCTTTTTGAACACCTTTAGCCTTGTGCGGTCCACAATTGGTACTGTGCGCAAACGTTAGGCCGTGTGTCCCATGCTAGGTACTTCCTCCTTGTTCTAGACTTTGCAGTAACTTCTCAAGATCTCCCCCATGCTGTCAAGTTCCTTCACACTCTGTGACAGACTGTCCACCTGCTTTCCATTCTTTGACATGCATGTTGCTTTTTTGTTTGTTTCATTATCTATTCTGGACTGCTTTTAGTCTCCTGCTGCTCTCCAAAGCAATTGCATCAGGTCTTTGGGCTTCTAGCCCCCTCTGCAGGCTATATTCCGAGGCTCTCTTCGACAGCACTACAGCCATTATACATGCCTCTAATCTCCCGGCCTCGCATCTAAGCCCATAAAAATCCATACCCAGCCATCACTTCCAAGTGGAGCTGACCCGAGACTGTCAGAAAGGAAGGCACATTGAAGAAATGGGGGTTTTCATCAGGTTTGTTCTGCTTATTTGCAGGCTGCAAGAGAAAAACAGAGAGAGAGAAAGGAAGTTACTGGCTACATTACTCAAGATCTAGGATTCTTCAAACCCTTCCTGGAATCAGAAGACCCAACTGCCTTTCACTTTCAAGATGAAGTGCCACGGGTACAGTCCACAGAACTCGACTAGTGGAACCTGTACAGTGGTGCCTCGCATAGCGAGGTTAATCCATTCCGGATTAACCCTCGCTATGTGAAAACATCGCTAAACGGAATGTAAAAACCCATTGGAACGCATTAAACGCCCTAAACTTACTGTTCAACAAAGTTTCCTCCATAGCGGCAGCCATTTTCGCGCCCTCGCTAAGCGAGGGGAGGGCGCGAAAACGCTGCGTGCGGCCATTTCGGGGCTTCCGGCGGCCATTTTGTAACCACCGAACAGCTGATCTGCGGGCATCGCAAAGCGAAGATCGGTAACCACGTTTTTACCACAGAGATCGCCGCTATGCCTCCGCATTAGCGATCCCAAAAAAGGGATCGCTATGCGGATTCGTCGTTATATGGTGCGCTCGTTAAGCGAGGCACCACTGTATTTACAAAGCTGGGAGCCAGCAGGTTTCTCGGCCAGAAAACGTATGAGCTATCATTAAAATATTACCCCCCCCCCAAAAAAAACCCCAGGAGGAACATTTTCAAGAGGTCTCAATCTAGAATGTTTTTTTTCCCCTTTTTCATTAGCGGCAATAGCCATGGCAGGAGACTTTTAAGTGCCACAACGTTTTGTTCACACAAAGCAAAGGAAACAAAAGGAAAGAAACGAATTTCTTGGCTTCTCTTAATGGCGTGACTCAAAAGGGACGAGATAATAACCTTGTCACAGAGGTATGCGAACATTCCCAATTTTAAAAAAATACATGTCAAGTTCTATTTTCTCCTTTTACCCATTTAAAGAAATGAACAAAGCCCTCCATTCTGATGCGTCTTTTCTTTTTTCTGAGACACCATCAAGAGAGGAAAACATACACACACACACATACACTGTCATTCCTCTCTCTCAGGAGACAAGAAACACACACACACACACACACAGAGTCATTCCTCTCTTTCTCTCAGGAGACAAGAGATTTACAGCAGAAAAGGAGGGATCAAAGAAAATCAAACCACACAAAGTCCGGGATAATGTGATTTGCAAGTATCTGACCGCTCTCCCCTAAACGTTCCACATGTGAAGCCCCTCTCAAGAGAAGGAAAAGGGAAAAAAGGGGGAAAGCCAGCATAGTACAGTAATTTAAAGTGTTGAACTAAGATGGGGAGCCTCCGGTTTGAAATCCATAGGGAGCCACAGAACGCCTTAGATCACCTTAGTCAGAATTCTGCTCTCTTACTTACTTATGTATTTATTTAAAGTATTTTTCCCTACCTTTCTGCTTAAAAAGGACAAAAGCCGTCTTACATTCCTGAAAGACAATATTTAAAGCTGGAAGCGATTAATATACAAGGGTGGCTCACATCATTAAAAGGCCATATTGAAACTAAAAACAGTAAGTACTTAAATGTTGGAAAGGAACAAACAAATACAACTCTGAGCACAAGTACAGTGGACCCTCTACTTACGGAATTAATCTGTACTGGAACGGTGGCTGCAGGTCGAAAAGTCTGTAGGTCGAGTCTCCATTGACCTACAGTGCATTGAAAACCGATTACAGTGGTGACTCACATAACGAGCGCACCATTTAACGACGAATCCGCATAGCGATGCGTTTTTTGCAATCGCTAATGCGATCGCATTGCAATGTTTAGATAGGCTAAACATCATATTGCGACGATCGGTGTTTCGCTTACCGATCTTCGCATTGCGATGTTTAGAAAACAGCTGATCGGCGGTTCCAAAACGGCCGCCCGCAGCGTTTTCGCACCCTGCCCTCGCTTACTGGGCAGCAAAATGGCGGCCAGATGGGGAAATCTTTGCTTACCTGTGAGTTTTCCCCCCATAGGAACGCATTAAACTGAGTTTAATGCATTCCTCTGGGGTTTTTCCCCCCGCATAGCGACGAATCCGGATAGCGACGTTAATCCTGGAACGGATTAACGTCGCTATGCGGGTCACCACTGTAATCCATAACTAGCCGTTTTTGTTCCGTTTTTGTTCCATTTTGGTTTTTTTCTGGTCTGTAGGTTGATTCTCCGGCTGCATGTCGAACCTAAATTTTGCGGCCAGAGAAGTCCATAACTCGAAAAGTCTGTAAGTCGAGCCGTCTGTAAGTCGAGGGTCCACTATAGTCCTCACAGCCCAGTCAAAGCAGTAAGGCATAACAATCCATTTAAAAAAAGAAACACACTCAGGTAGCCAGCCGCTGAAGGAAAGCCTGCCTGAAGAGAAAGGCTTTTGCCTGCTTGTGTCTCTTGTAGCAGTAAGGCATAACAATCCATTTAAAAAAAGAAACACACTCAGGTAGCCAGCCGCTGAAGGAAAGCCTGCCTGAAGAGAAAGGTCTTTGCCTGCTTGTGTCTCTAGCGGTGCCTATTTCCTTCGTACATTAGAGTTCTGGTCCTGAAGATAGTGGTCAATGATCATGGAAAAACAATTATGTTCACAACTGCATAAAGGTAAAGGTTCCCCTTGACATTGAGTTCAGTCGTGTCCGACTCTAGCGCACGGTGCTCATCTCCATTTCCAAGCCGCAGCGTCACCACATCCCACTCACAACTGTATGCATGGGCACAAAATTAAGACCGCAATCTGTCCTGTAAGGAACAGCCAAGGGGTTAAATGGAAAAAAGAAACAACTGCAGGACGGCTGTCACACACAATGTTTATTAGCGAGATTTCAGGCCTGGGCCCAATTTCTTAGCTAGTGTATGTGACATGCTGTCAAGCTGGAACAGGCGTTCAGTGACCCTAATAGGACTGATCAAGGAGAGATATTTATATCTTGGTTGTACCCGTTCTGCACATGTTCCCATGTGTTTTTACTGGCCAAGCAGGGTTCAGTCTTAGCTCTCATGAGTCTTGGCCTATCTCTCTATCCACTGCACCATTGGGTACAAAAAGATGCTACAACGTGAAAACTGATGGTGACGACCATAGACATTTCCTTAAGGTCCCACGAGAAAACAAGGCAACAAATAATGTTGTGCTGTGCCTCCCAATGTCAGGGGTCTCCACAACCACAGGTTTATTGAGTGGCATGGTAGCATCAAAAGCATTCTGATAAGTGTGGCAGTTCTGAGCACCATCCTCTTGAAAAGAAATCTGGAACATGTCCTGTAGAGTTATGGTCCCCAACTTTGGGCCTGCAGAGATCCTTGGACTACAACTCCCAGAATCTTTCACCACCACCTCTGCTGGCCAGGATTTCTGGGCGTTGAAGTCCAAGAACCTCTGGAGGCCCAAGGTTGCTGTAGACCAATGGTTCTCAACCTTCGGTAACCCGGATGTTCCTGGACTGCAATTCCCATAAGGCTTCACGACCAGCTGTGCTTCCTGGGGTTTCTGGGAATTGCAGTCCAAGAACACTCCAGTTACCCAAAGTTGAGAACCAGTGCTGTAGACGATGACAATATAGACCGCTCTAGATGATGACCATGATGGCCAAATGTCTGAAAAACGTAGCTCAATGAGCCATGAACGAGACTGAGGGAAGCGTGCACGTTTACCCTGGAGATAAAAAGACTGAGATGTGACAAGGCAGCCATTTCCAAATATCTGAAAGGCTGGCATGTGGAAGATGAGACAGGTCGGTTTGCTAATTTTAACACTACCCGTGTCACTTAGAAAGGCCCCTTGGCTCCCACCTTTCTGTCCTGTCCTCTGTGTATATTAGCCAACTATGATACTCCATGTGTCTGGGGAAGTGGACGAAAATCCAAAAAAGATCCAGATTTGTCTATTTATTGATACGATTTAGGTGGCACCGTTGGGACTCAAGGCAACTTACAACCATGAAAACTGCACAATAATAATAGGTTAAAAATTATACAAAATGATAATGAAACACGGTTCAACATTATTCAAAATTAAAAGCAATTTTTTTAAAAAAATCTGAATTTCATCAATACGGTGTTCCCAAGACCCTCAAGTTATTGCTTAAGAGGCTGCCTAAAAAGAAAGGTTTATTTTCCCCCAACAATGGAAGGACAAAAAGCAAAAAGCAAAGCAAAACGTGCTGCTTATATACTGCCCCATAGTGCTTCAAGCACTCTCTGGGTAGTTTACAATTTAATTATACAGGCTACACATTGCCCCCCCCCAGCGAGCTGGGTACTCATTTTACCGACCTCGGAAGGATAGAAGGCTGAGTCAACCTTGAGCCGGTTACTTGGGATTTGAACCCCCGGTCGTGAGCACAGGTTTCTGGCTGCAGTACAGCAGTTTAACCACTGCGCCAACCTGGCGTCTCAGGGCAGTGCATCCCAAAGTTTGGGAGTCAACACTGAGAAGGCCCTGTCTTGTGTCCTCATCAAACGAGCTTGGGAAGGTAGTGGAACTGAGAAAGGAGTCTCCACAGAAGATCTTAGAAGCCAAGAAGATTCCTATGGGGGTGATAACAATTCTTCAGATAGCCTGGACCCAAGGGCTTTATAGGTATGGGTAGAACATTTATTTGAATAAATATTAGTGTTTCACTCTTTTGTTTTACTTCCTTAACCTGTGAACATGAATCAGACGGGGTTGCCGTCCGGTGTGTTTGTGTTGCTGGATGTTTTATTAGCTTGCAAAATAACAGCATGAGCCTCAGCACAGAATTCCCCTCAGCTGCGGTGACAGCAACAAGTAAGATCTTAAAAGCCAGGGAGGCTCCTACGGGGTTGTACAACCCTTCAAATAGCCTGGACCCACATTGTGTTGGGATTTATATGTAATAACCAACACTCTGAATCGGGCCTGGAAACAGGCTGGCAAGCCAGAGAAGTTGTAATAAAAGAGCTACCTGCTCTTGGTAACCAGCAGTCCGGCCGCAGCATTTTCAACCAGCTCAAGTTTCCAGACACTCTTCAAAAGCAGCCTTGCGTAGAATGCGTTGCAATAATGCAAACG